CCCCCCGGGTGGCCACGCTGCAATCCCTTCTCCTCCATTCTCCTCTTGGGATCTTGGGCATGCACGCACATGCACCTGGCGTGAGTTTAAGTCACTGGGTCCGGGACTGGAACCACAGTCGACTACATGGGAGTCCAGCAACATAGCCATTATGCTAACTGCTGGTCCCGTTAATTTGAATTTAAAGTCACGTATGGCCTGTGGCCACCATACTAGAAAGCACAGAGAGTATTTCTGTCCCTACAGGGTCACAGAAATAAAGACAAGTCCCATGGCCTGCTAAATCCTGTAGAACTGAGGCATTTGCAATGTGTCTTAGAATAGCTAAACCCGTCAGGTTTAACCTATCAAACGGGATCCTCAGTATGTCAATTAAGATTCAGTTTAGGAGAAATTTTTTTTTTGGAGAGGTTTTTGCTATAGGGCGCGTGCGCTCGCCAGACAGACAGAGAGAGACAGAGAGATAGAAAGCAGGAAATCACCCCCCTGGGAGTCCAGCGACATAGCCATTATACCAACTGCTGGTCCCAGTTTAGGAGAAATTTTAAAATAAAGTTTTCTCGACTTGCAGAACTAGCTTTCTGGCATATTCCAAACACATAGTTTCACGGGGACATTGTCCTCTAAATGATCTAGTCACCAACATAACCAGGAGATTGGTCCAGGATGTAACGTAATGCACCAGCAAGTGCTGTGGTGGTTAAGGCGCTAGACTCCCACGTGGCCAACTGTGGTTTGAGTCCTGGACCTGGCACCTTGAATAGCACGCTGGGCACTGGGCACATATGCGTGCATGCATGCCCAAAATCCCAAGAGGAAGTGGAGAAGGGATTGCGGCATGGCCCTCCCCCCAGGAGGCGATTCTCAGTTCCCCTCTGTCTCTTTGTCTCTCTCTTCAGTGAGCACACACACCCTATGAGAAAAACCTAAAAAACAAAAACAAACAAACAAAACACACATACAAAAATCTATCTCTCTCTCTATGTAGATACACATATTTAACACAGTGGAAGTTGATTTCCACTCCTGGCTGCTTGCTAGCCTACCAGGATCAAATACCCACCCTTACTATTCTTGCCTCAAAACCAGAGATAATCTCTGAATCTAATCTCTGGCCCCCAGGATAGGCTGGAATCAACACTGCAAATCAGTGTCACCTCTAAGGACAAGTTTGTTCTCCTATCACTGAGATTCATAATTACTTGGAATTGCACAAACCGCATTAACACATTCACTTTAGGTGTGCAAATCCTCACACAACTCCAAGCTCATACCTTTTTACTTTTTTTTTTTTTTTTTAAGGTTTTTGCCATAAGGCATGTGTGCTTGCCAGAGAGAGGGAAAGTGAGAAATCCCCACCTAGGGGAAACGGTCACACTGCAATCCCTTCTCCATTTTCCCCTTGGGAGTTTGGGCATGCACATGTGCCCAGCATGATTTTTCAAGCCATAAACTGCAGTCAGCCATGTTGGATCCAAAGCCTTAACTTCCATGCCACCTGCTGGCCTCCCAAGTTCATTTTAAAAGCTTTAAAAAAAAAAAGACAAGTTTGTCTCTCACTACAAAGGTAAAAGATAGTCTATAGACGATGAAAACATCATAGGCCTTTTTGAGCACAAAAAATACTTACCTCTGCTTGCCCCAAACCTTCCTGACCACCTCTAACAGGGTCAACATGAGCCATTTATTGATGCTTTAATGTTTCTGCAGTAACTCAAGGTCGGGGCTCCCCCCCCCTGCTGTCACTCATTCTTCATAATAATGGCTGTGCTTAACGAGCACTGAGGCTGCACCTTATTTAATCGAAACATTACCACCATCCTCTGAAGCAGGTACTATCGAGTCATTGGGAAGCCATGACAGGGGGCCCAGCAGTTGGCATAATGGCTATGTTGCTGGACTCCCATGTAGTCAACCACGGTTCAAATCCCGGACCTGGTAGCTTAAACTAACACTGGGCGCGTGTGTGTGTGTGTGTGTGTGTGTGTGTGTGTGTGTGCCCCCAAGATCCCGAGAAGAAACTGGAGAAGGGATTGTGGCATAGCCATCCCCCCTGGAGGGTGATTTCTCACTCTCTGTCTTTGTCTTTTTGGCGAGCGCACATGCTATAGCAAAAACCTCTAAAATAAAAAAAAAAAGAAAGAAAGAACAGAAGAAAGAAAAGTCATGACACATTTTTGCATGGTAAAACAGAAAATAGACGTCATGACTTTCCCGAGGCCCTAACAGGACCAGAGGCCGAGGGTGAGAGAGATGAGCGAACCTGCCCACAGCCACACAGAGAGCCAGAGGCAGAAGGGAGACCGACAGCCACATCTGCCTGGTTTTCTGGTAGGAAGCCTTTGCAGAATGAGCAAAAACAAACTCAACTCCATCGCCCAGTGGCTTTCCCAAAGTCTGGTCGCTCTAAACCGCAGTTACGGCGTTCAGTACCAGGCAGAGCCGTTCTCCTTGAGTTCAGGCTACGGCTCAGGGAGGGATTTTGGTGGTGTGGGGTTTAGAAATCCTGAGCCCATTCTTACTTCAGAAACCACCCTTTTCCCCAAGGACCTCATTTTCTGTCCCAGGGTGTGACCAGGTAGCACTTCTGGTCCAGCCAGCACAACTGCTCCCAGGAAGACAAGCTAGATACATGCAACAGAACTTTCCAGATGTCATCCTGGGCATCATGGGGTGTTGGGGAAGTAAATAATGAGATCCCAGCTATGGGAACCCAGGGTGTAAGGAAAAGCTTACAGTGAGAAGGAGAAAAATCAAGGGAGCCTTCCCGAAGGAACCAACTGAGCTGGACTCTAAGTGGAGGGTAAGACTGAGACATAACAGATTCCAGGGTAGAGTTCTGGGAGGAACCAGCCTCAACCAAAGCAGAAGAGGGAAAGAAGAGTGTCACTTGCTCAGGCTACAGAAAAGGAAGCAGGAGGGGAGTGGCAGGGTCTTCAGGGGCCCAGACCAATAGGCCAAGGCAGCTGTGGGAGCCCTGGGAGTACCCTGGGAGCACCCCTAGACCCCTCTGCAAACCGGCCCTGGCACATCCTAGCTGTGTGTCCCATCTCTTGTCTGGGTCTCAGTCTACTTGAGGAGAGCACAGAGGACCACTTGGAGGTCTGAGAACCTAAAGAAAAATAAACTGGTGCTGGGACCAGCAGTTGGCGTAATGGCTATGTCGCTGGACTCCCATGTAATCGACCGCGGTTCGCGTCCTGGACCTGGTGGCTTAAACTCACATCGGGCATGTGTGCATGCATGACCAAGATCCTGAGAGGAGAATTAAGGAGAAGGGATTGCGGCATGGCCATCCCCCCCAATGGGTGATTTCTCACTTTCTGTTTGTCTTTCTCTGACTTTCTGGTGAGCATACGTGCCTTATAGCAAAACCTCTCCAAAAAAAAGAAAAACTAATTGGCGCTAGGAACATGGGTTATTAAGTACCCTTATTTCTAACTTCCCGTATTACAAAAATGGTGTTGCTAAGAATTTATTAGTGAAAATTAAGTTAAAAGTTCAGTGGTTCAAAATAGGGCTCTGACGTCAGACACGCTGTCTACCTCCAGACTCTCAAGTTCCTGCCCTGAGAAATGGGGGGCAGTGGCTACCGCATCGGCTGCTGGGGGAGTAGGGCAGGTAATCTGTATAAGGGAAGGACAGGGCCTGGCACCCAGCACTTATTCTGTCAGCGATTTTTAATTTTAGCTTTGGGCCCTGTGCACTCACCAGAGAACGAGAAAGAAAGAGAAGGAAAGTGAGGAATGACCCCCGGAGTGGGGGAGGCCCACGATCCTTTCTCCTCTATTCTCCTTTCGGATTCTGGGGCACACACTTGTGAGCCCAGGCTGGGATTCAAACCCAATAATGGCCATGTGGGATCCAGCCGACCACTGGTCGGCCCTTGTCAGCTATTATTCATAATAAACTATTTTCAATTCTCAGCCAGGGGAGGCCAGTCATCAGGATTTCTGGGCAGGTGAGGGGTGAGCAACGCTGGCCTCCGGGTACCACCTGGGCATCGTCTTCTAGTCCCTCTCCTTAACCACCCACGCCCGGGCGGTGAAAAGGAGTCAAAACGCAGATTCCCTGGACGCCAGCCTCTACATCCTCTGGGACCCCTCTTCAGGCTCCAGGTCTCACTGTCAACTCGGCATCCTCCTCCCATCTGCGGGTTCAGGGGCGCAAATCTCGCACGTGCTGGGCCCTGCAGCCCACGTTACACAAGCCGCATTGCTAAGGCGCGGAGGAAGCCGGTGTCCGCGTAGGCGGGGGCTGCCGGGGCTGCCCGAGAGCAACCCGGCTGTCCGACCAGCGTCCGACTACTGAGCTGGGGGTCGAGGGGGCGCGCGGACGAGGGAACTGGGCGGGCTGGGAAAGGCAGAGCTCCCGGCTGCCGGGGGTAGGGAGGAGCAGAGAGGGCCCCTGAGGGGTGCAGGACGAGGTGACCTGGAGCGCGATGTCGTCTGGGAGGAGGAGCGGCAGCCTGGGACATGGAGACTGGGGCGCGGGAGCCCCCAGACCGTCCAGGCACTGGCAGGGGCGCGGAGGGGCTGGTGCCGGGGTGGGGAGACAGAGTAGGAAGAGGGTGCAGCTCCCGACCGTGCGCGCTCTACCCCTGGGCTTCAGGAGGCTGGGAGCCAGGACCCGGGTGGGATGGAGGAGCCGGCCTGGGGAGTCCCGCAGCCATCCAGGCGCCGGGGGCTACGAGGGAGGGCGACAGCGGGGCGCACGGGGAGGTGCAGGTCCCGGACTCGGCTGCAGCCCGCGCGCTGCCCGGACCTGGGAGATGGGGGAGTCACCGGACCCTCGGGGGCGCTCCCAGCCCGGGCTACTGGGGCCGCACTCCCTGCCCCGGCTCACCTGTCCGACCCCAGCCACCTGGGTCCCGCCGCCGGCTCCTGACCCCGGCCTCCGGCCCCCAGCACCGGCAGAGTCGCGCCGCAGCGTTCGTGC